GACCCAGAATGACTATAACTTCCTGTTCCTGTTTGAACTATTCCCCTTTGAGTGCCAGAAAGGAGAACTGCTCTGAAACAAGGACGTCTTGCTTTCCACTCCCTACACCAGTGTTGTCCAAACTTGGCCACTTTAAGATGAGTGGACTTCAACTCCCAGGATTCCCCCGCCAGCTGGGGAATCCTGGGGGGTGAAGCTGGGTGGGGGATCCTGGGAGTTGAAGTCCACTCATCTTAAAGTGGCCAAGTTTGGACAACACTGGTGTAGGGAGTGGAAAGCAAGACGTCCTTGTTTCAGAGCAGTTCTCCTTTCTGGCACTCAAAGGGGAATAGTTCAAACAGGAACAGGAAGTTATAGTCATTCTGGGTCAGGGAAAAAAATGATAAAGCTGTTTTGAAAGACTGGAAACCTTATATGGACTTTTTGTTGAAAGAACAAAGGACCTAATTGATGATTTATGGATTTGGGGATTAAAAACGGTTAACGAATAAGACGGCAACTATTCAATAGAAGGTCAGAAATCATAATTCTATATTTTCTCTTTTTTTCCCTTGTACTTTTTTTCTATCTTTTTCTTATTTTTTCCTTGGTTTTTTATATTTTTATGGTATTCAAAAATTCTAATAAAATAGTAATAATATTAAAAAGGTAATTATAATCATTTTGCATTACTACCTCTTCTGTTTTTACAACAGCCAGTAACTTCCCAAGCCTTTAAATAGGAGAGTTGAAAACCAAATATATACCTACATGGTCTATTTTGGGGACTTGAAAAAAAAAATGCCATAAGGATTTGACTACTTCCTCTGCATTTTGTTTTAAGCTTGTTTCCTTTCCCATCTTCCTCTTCACATTCAGACAGGAAAGGTACTTGCTAATTCTTTGAAGATCTATAAATATGCCACATTGGGAACAGGAGAGGAGTCAGACCATAGGCTTTGTAAGGGCTGTAGCCAGAAGTGTTTCCTCTGTGGTCATTAAAAAAACAATGAAAACCCTTAAAAACGCCAAACTGGGATGGAGAGTCTCTGCGAGAAGGCCTAAGCCATGCGAGAGATATGATAGAGAAATAATTTCCATGGAGAGAAATCATTACACGTAAAACAAATAAGCTGGATGATAGAAATATCAATATAAAATGTGGGTTTTTTCAGCATTTTGGGGAGTTTCCCTGTGCAGATCAACCTTCCATACAATCCTGCATGCTTCTACTCAGAAATGAGTCAGAAAATTAAACAGGGCTGGATATTGAAACACTATGCTTTGGGGAGCGCTAAGTTGACTCTTGCAGTAAAACCGAGGACCGAGGAATCTGATGTCTCCTAAGCAATGAATGATGCCTGCCTACGGCCTAATCTCACCAAAGTCCCACTCCAAACTGGGCAAGAAAATATAAGGATGTCCTCCATCTCTTTTGACATTCTCTCTGATGGTCCCAGAAGGAGGACCAAGCACAGGAACAGAGGTCTGGGCAACGAAGACCGACCTGGTCTCTTCCAAAAGCAGGTTCAGCGACTGGCAGGTTACAGTGATCAGTTTGCAGACCTCATCTCAGGGAAGAAAAGGAGGCAGGATTATTGAAACTTCCCTCTCCCTCCAGCTCCTGTTATTTCTGTGGGCATGTACCAAAACAGAAGAGACTGTGATGCAAGGTAGAAGAACACCTTCATTGTGAACCAAAAGATCAGCTACAGTCCTTGGTGCTTCCCAAGAGATGTTGGTCCCTGCAGCGCTGAACCAAAAGTTCGAGGCAGGATTAAGAGGAACCACCTATTTGGGGGGAAGAATGACTCTTAGTCTTGTCAATTACAAATCTAGCATCTGCGTTTGCACATCATACTAAGCTTGGTTATTTTAAACCTGGTTAGCTTTTTGGTGACTTAATGTGTTACATGAACTCAGGGTTTTTTTTTAATGGTTCGGGATATTATGAAAACCCAGAAAACAATAGAATAATTAGGTTCAGAGAGTGGTGTGACTGTAACTTTAGAGAGAGGTTAAAATATAACTGTACTTAAAACTGCTGGGAAGAATATCGGAAGCTACTTCTTTATATCTTCCTTTTTTCTCTACTTTCCTCTATTTTCTTTTCTTATTGCCCTTTTCGTTTTTTCTGTTCTTTCTTTTTCGTTTTTTCTGTTCTAATTTAGTTTCTATTCTTATTATTGTTCTTAAAACTTAATATATATATATATATATTTAATGAACATAGGATGTCGTCTTTCAAAGAGTTAGAGGCCATGGTCTATTCAGGTCTAGAAATTGGGTGCTTTCCCCCTTTTGCATCACCACCGATGTTAAACGAATTAAAAATCCATATTGAAAAGAGCATTCACCTAAAAATCTCTTCGTTGGATGGGAACAAAGTAATTCTCAGAAAGGCCACTAGGTGGCGAGGTCCACCATCTTGCATCACATTTTCTGAACGTTCAACATTTAAGGAGTAAAATGATGTTTCTTTCTGGACTGGATTTTCTAGCTCTGTTTTTGTCATTTTGTGTTAACATGGCAAAAATAACAAAAATCCAACTCTGAACTGAGAACTTTATTGTTGCAGAAACAAACAGGCTGGTCTCCTATCTCACACTAAGCCAGGAGCTGGCAACTTTTTGAAGTTTAGGATGGGTGAGTTGTCCACCCCACGCTCCACAGAGTTG